TACATTTTATTAGGTCATTAACCCTTTTGTTTACATTTAGCCAAGTCCACAACCTATCTTTACATTTAGCCAAGTCAACAACCTTTTTAGCAAAGTCCACAACCTTTGTTTACATTTGGGTTCACTGAACCTTTTGTTTACATTTTATGGGGTCAATGACCCCTTTGTTTACATTATGAGGTCAATGACCTGTTTGTTTACATTTTGCCGAGGTCAATGACCCCTTTGTTTACATTTTATTAGGTCATTAACCCTTTTGTTTACATTTAGCCAAGTTCAAAACCTTTGTGAATATTTAGCCAAGTTAACAACCTTTATGAACATTTAGCCAAGTCCACAACCTATGGTTACATTTAGCAAAGTCAACAACCTTTGTTTACTTTTGAAGTCTATGACCGTTTGTATGGGTCGAATTTAAGTACTTCTCCAAAATTTTTATAAATTAATTTTTTTGTTTTGTTATTTGTTCATTTAAATTATTGTCTAGTATTAAAGAAAATAGGCAGCCATTCGCGATCTCTTTTCAAAATTATAATTATTATTTTCAGGTTTGATTGAAAAAAGGAGTAAGTTAAAGATAGGAGTTTCTTCTTGCTTTCATCTGCGTGATACGAACTTCGTGGCAAACTTAATATACCCTGTTCAGGGTATAAAAACAATTGAAAAAGTAGAAAAACTATTTACCTTCGACATAATAAAATAATATACTGGTGACGAGTCGAAGGTTTAGAAATATGACGTTGAGACGTTGTCCAACAATCTAGTGAATGTCGCTCCAAAAATAATATCGACGAAACCAAAAACCTCAAATTCAAGACTTAACTATAATAAGTGGCATGCTTTCCTCAGAAGTTTATATTGAAGGCGATAATAAAGATTTGTATCAAAATACTTGAAAATGTGGCTTTTTTGTCAGTCCTGGTCAAATTTGATGAGACTATAACAATATTCATTCAAAAAATGGTACCTTTGGATAGAGTATTTTTTTGTAACAAGAAACTCAGCTAACCAATCGACTTGTTGAATATAGTTTCAATGCGCGCATTTATATTGAAATATTTGGAATCGAATATAATACACGCTCATATAAATACACACATTTCCCCATGAGCATATTTTCCTCTGACTCGACATACCATAATAGCAACCCCCTCTTTCTTCACTGCGCTTTAATCACACGCTTAAAAGCATACATTGTTGGTTGCTGATGAGGACAAACGGTGAATGTGTTGAGTAGTCTGCAATTTGTAGCACATTTCCATTGCTTTTGTTTTTGCTGAGCTTTTATTGTTCGCATTTCGTTTACGTTGCTTTCTTAATTTCGTGGCTACTAGTTTCTTTTTTTATTATTGCTACAAGTTCCGTATTCTTTATTTCTAATAGGCGTTTTATGTTTTTTTCCTCCTTACATTGTTTTTCATATTCTTGGTATCATCTTTGAATTACCAAAGTGTGGTAATATGTCCTCTGTCTGGCCATTACTGCCGCCGCTAGACGACAATCATTACTTTGTTGCGAGTCAAGAGACAATTTGACGCCAGTCTATTGAAAGACAATGCCACTTGAGGCTTCGATTATACGCAGCAATGAAGATCTCTTGACTGTAATTATAATTTAAATGAAGTCTTTGGTGTTGGAAGCTTGAGTGTTAATTGAAATATATAAAGGGAGTGGTTAAATTTAATATGAGAAAACCCAGAGGGTGTTCGTAAAGCATATAACTAAGATTATTTCTGAAATTGGTATTGTAGAACTTTAAGTAAGATTTCTGTGAGAGTAATCTATAGATAGGTTCAGGCAGCTCGTTTCCCGTGAAGTCCCCTCATGACGTTTAAATCACATCACAAGCAGGCGCGAGCATCACTTAAGCGCTGGCCAGGCACGGTGCCTGCTTTTCTTTTATAGAGACAACTGGCAGCCCACTTCCCGTGAGGTCACCTCATGACGTCTAAATCGCATCACAAGGAGGCGCGAGAGTCACCTAAGCGCTGGCCAGGCACAGTGGCTGCTTTTCTTTTATAGAGCCAGCTGGCAGCCAGTTGGCAGTCAGCTTCGTGTGAGGTCACCCCATAACTTTTAAATCACGTCACATGGAGGCGTGGGAGTCACCTAAGCGCTGGCCAAGCACGGTGGCTGATTTTCTTTTATAGAGCCAGTTGGCAGTCAGCTTCGTGTGAGGTCACCTCATAACTTTTAAATCACATCACATGGAGGCGTGGGAGTCACCTAAGCGCTGGCCAGGCACGGTGGCTTATTTTCTTTTATAGAGCCAGCTGGTGGCCAGCTTCACTTTAGGTCACCTCAAAACTTTTAAATTTAAAAATTGTTTAAAATAGGTTTGCATATGGTATATAGAAAAGTTCCGTTAAACGAATAATTCTCTTAAGAACAGAGAAAGGCAAAAAGGTGCAGAGGGCAATTCGAAGCGCAATTCATGCGATTTCGCCATCAATTTCACTGATTTGTTGAACGGTAATTCTTCGCGTTTGCTTTGATTTCTATTCTTGAAATAAATAGTATTTGCTTCAATGCCATAACATTCCTAATTTGATATAATTATTGCGCATGCCTTTAAAAATTGGCATAGTTTCCAAGCAGCCATTTTATAAATCCTTTGTGTAATTCGTTCTTATAATTAACAGTAACATAAAAGTAAAGTCTGGAATGGAATTCTTTTTAATATACAAAATATTCATCAAATTCCACCTCAAAGTCAGCCGAATGAGAATAAAAAAAAATATTCGCTTATGCCTTTAAATTTGAATTAAAGCACGTTTATTTAGAAAAGCACACGCCTAAAGCTTCGCTGTCTCTCGTTGCTTGCTTATTTTGTAGCGGAAACTGTCAAGCAGCTCAGCTTAATTCAAACAAACTCAGCTGAATGAAATAAATGAATTGATATTGACTGCCTAAGCACAAATGTGCACAGCCTGACTGAGCTTCTGCGCTCTATTTCTTTTATTCTCTCTCTCTCTCTCTCTCATATATGTACACATGTGTATGGCGCTCATTCACTTAAGGTAAAATGAGAATTGAATTTAATGCGCTTTAGCGCGCACTCATATGCCATGAAGGACGATGGGCAGGCCCCAGCACAGGGGGTGTCTGTGGAAAATGAAATTCCTAGAACAAAGCGGAAATTGAAATGCTACTTGGAAAACGCTGTACGCTTTGAGCTGTGTTGAGTTTTCTTACGCTGAGTGAATACCAAAGAAATTCGATTTGACAAGTCGGTTTGGTGAAATCGAGCAAGAGTCGCTGCAAGAAGTTGAGCGGAAAAGCAGTAGAGCGCCAGAGCAGTACAGTGACAACCGTGGTAGCAGCAGCAGCAGCAGCAGCAAAAGCAGTAGAAATTATATATGACACGTATTGGCGCTATTATATAGTATGCGCATATATTTTTGTTGTTGCTCTTTTTGTGCTATTTGGTGATTCTTGGCCTAACGGTTATGCATTATACACGCCAAATTATGCAATATACTTACTGCACGTGTGAAAATCATTGATTGGAAAGAAGTTAAGCAAAAAGTTTGGCAAAAAAGCGAGGAAAAATTAAATAGCAAAAAATCGTGTGTAAAATTTTGGCTAGAAAAGTGTGTATAAGAGGTGTGTGAAAAGTGGTGAAAATGCTTTGGCAACGATAAGCAGTGAAAAAAATCGAATTTCACAGCACTCGTTTGGCCTTCGTCGCGTTGAAGGCGAGTGAAAACGCGTAATACTGATAGCAAGCGCAAGAAATTAAAAAAAGTAGATTGTAAAGAGTTGAAAATATAATAAAAATTCATTTAAAAGTAGTTATTTCAAAGAAAAATTTAAGTAAGAATATCAGCTAGCAGACTTTTCCTCAACGACCTCAAGCAGAAAATTGTCATTCAAGCAAGTGAGTATACATACAAACAGCACACACACACATCATTACACAGCACATCATGTGTGCTGCTACCTTGAATGTGAGCATTATGTTGACAGTTGCAGGAAGGTGGTTAAAAGAGAACAATAAAAATCACTAAGTGTTAGCTTAAAAAGAAAGCAAAAACAACACAAATACATGGTGATAATTTTAAGTATGCGATTTGATTGGATAAAACTGACTGTGGACAAAAAAGCATAAAAAAGCAAGGATGATGCAAACACAATAACAACAAGTGTATGGAAATTACAAAAAGCAAAGAGTAGCAATAAGAATGAAATATATATGTACATATATACAAACATGAGTATTTTGAGTAGCAGTAAAAATACAAAAAATATAAAAAAAAAGTAATATATATATTGTATAAAAAGAAAATAAAATAAATTTAATATTTTTCGATACATACATATATGCATATATAAAAAATTTTAGCAAGAAAAAATTTTCGCTAACTCACAACTCTTCGCAAGCAATAGTTAATAAGCGACTTCTTAAAAGTAAAAGCGTGTAGGTGTGTAGAATTAAGTGTGTACATATATGAGCGCAAAGTATGCCAATGTATTAACTAGGGTATTTTCAATATTGGCAAGATTATATAAAAATCACAAATATCATAGGCGCACGTAGCTGTTCGTCCTCATACAAACACACACATAGCATATTGCTCTACATATTATATGTATACGTATTTGTAGGCATGTATATTAGTCTACCAACCTATTTTTGCGTCTCAAGTGCTCCGAAAAATTTTGCCTGTATTTATTTTTGGCATAAATTTGTGGGTAGTTATAGAAATATTGGAGGCGCAAAGCACGTGGAAAGTGAACTTGGTGGCTTGACAAATGATATAAAGCTCAAAAATAGAACTTTGTTGTTCTGTACGTATATATTTATAGGCTATAGAATACTTGATTTGTGTAAGTATATATATATGTAGACTTTTTAGGTATTAAATGGGAGTATACGTTTATATTTTTCTATTTGCATTTGGCGTTGTAAAAAATACAAATGTGTATAAAATCAATGAAATATCTAGAAGGCAATTTTTAAAATATGTGAAATTGATCTAAAATTAGGCACACGTTCTTTTCTCAACAAGAAGCTGCTCATTTGTAGAAACCACCGGTATCGGACCCATATAGTATATAGCTGCTATACAAAAAGATCAATTAAAATCTAGTGTTTGTATGAGAAACCGTTTTATTTGACAATATACAATATGTTCACGAAATTCGGCATGGATTATTGGCTAAAGTAATGGTGAAATCTCCGAAGAAATTGTTTAGATTGCATTACTATAGCATATAGCTGTCATACAAACTGTCCGATGCAAATAAAGATAAGTGTCTTTTTATATCCTTTTATGCTATAAGAAATGCACCTGTGAAAGGTATTATAGCTACGTTGCAGTCAAGCTCTTAATTCCCTTGCTAACCGGTTATATATAAAATATGTAAGAAAATTAGTATTACAAAATTTCAAGTTAAATATAATTGTTATTTGTTAAAGAGATTTATATCAATTTTCAAACACGCGTAAAATGAATTATTGAAGCAGCGTTTACCTTCTATAAATTTTATCTCCCACCAAATAATACGAAAATCATTATTTTTGTAGCACGCTGTTAATGACGTCAGTTAAATATGTGCTTATCACTCTTGCAAGTTTTAATGAAATCTCAATAAATTTCATTTACTAAATGTTGCCCACGCAAGGTTTACTACACACTTCAACAGCATATTAGAAAAAAAAATAATAATAATCTAAAAATAAAAACTGTATAAATATAATATGTATGCACATGAGCGATGTGAGTCCAAGTGATTGCATAAAATTTCCAATAAGTGCACAATTGCAGCATAAAAGCGCGTTAACAAAACAATGAGCAGTGTAATAAGCTAGCAAACAGAGCGTAGCATTAGCAATACATGGCGTATGAGTAATATATTGTAGGCAACAACGGAGATTAAATGGCAAAGTGCACATACGCCATGGCGCATTGGCGACAAGTGGAGAATAAAAATACATATATACATATGTACTTTGTGTTTTTAGCACGAAGGCGCATACGTAGATATTTGCGTGCGACCTTACACATGCAAATGCATATAATTATATATATATTCATATACATGTATATTTGTAGGTAGCTCAAAGCCATTGCCAGCATGTATGTAAGTATGTATGCTTGTATGTGGATATTGTAAAATGCGCAATGACATAGAAAAATGTTAAATGGCGACACTGACACTCAACTGAAATATGATATTGAGCTAAGCAAAGTGCAGAGGTTAAATATATAAATTAAAGCAAAATAAATAAAAAACACGCCAAGCGGAAAACGAGAAGCTAAATAACAAAATTAAAAAAAAAAAATCACAAATTAAAATGAAAACAAATATATAAAAATAAATGTTAGTTTACTGTAGTTCAAGTGCGGCATTTAAGAAACAATTATGTTAAGCAGCAAATTTATTGGTGTTAACAATTTTGAACTTTGTGCTATTGAATTTAAGTGAAACGACTGTAATATTGCATGATATGTGAAGAAAGTAGGTTAGTTGGAATTTAAACTGAAGTGTTCGGGGATTACAATAAGCGCTAGAGGCAGAGCTTTCGCCAGAATTTGTAGTAAAGGAATCTACTTTCATAAAGTTCCGACAAAAGAGAGCAGACTTATTCTGTTTAGTACACCATAGACTTACACAGTTTTCTGTAATATTGTAAGAATTGAAAGAAGACTAAAAGACAATAATAAAATATTTTTTTTTGCTTTATAAAAAATAAATTTTTTACCGCTGTTTTTGCTCAACCATATGGCTTATCATTGAATTATATGTAAGCATCATTATACTATTTATTATAGTCACCAATCTCTCATGTTTGGGAGACCACGTTTGCGTCTTTGTCAATCATTTTGCTACATTATAAGTGAAGGCGCCACGAATTCATGTCAATCTGAAATGTTTTTGATTTGAGTTAAAAAAGAAAAGCATAACAACAAAAAGGAAAATAAGTTTTCTACAGTGAAGCCTATTATTTGTGGTCTACAATATGGACATAAATTTGCAAAAATATAATAATATGCTAATGAATATGATAGAAGAAAAATAACTGTCACATGTGAGATAGTAAAATCTTATTTGCATTTCAAAGTAAGCGTCAACACGTCAATGTCTAGAGCGTACGCAAAATAAATTTAATAATCCCGTACTAAAGCAAGCACTCTATCATTCGGTGGAAATTTTACTATTGAAAGCATACCAATAGGCGCCCACGTCGTATATCAGTATGAATGCTTGTTTGCACACGTCACACAGTGACACAGATTCGATGGTACTCCGCTTCAAAAGGAAAAAGTATAACATACACATGTGTGGTAGGGAATAAGAGTGGGTAGAAAGAAAGAGAGAATGAGACATTAATAAGAATCAGCTGTCAAGTTTGAATGGTTTTTCAAGTCTGTTATTGATATATAAGTCAGTTGAAGATAAGGTCAGTTGGAATTGCGAATCAAAGATGGTTGGTATTTGTAGTGAATGATTTCATAGTATTAAAGTAACCGTTTGCAAACTTGCTAGTATATCAACAAATAATTACATATATGTGAACAGTTATTTTTTCTTTACGTGATAATTTATCGAGCTTTTGGATCATCAATAAATTTAGTCTCTGGCAATGGAGACTGAACAGCAAAAAATACATATGTATGTACATGTGAACAGTTACTTTTGACTTTGTGTGTGAACTATTATTGAACTTTTGGAACGCCGACAAATTTATTCTCCCACCGCAAGAAGCGATAAATGAAATTACTTTCTTCACTTTTTCTTTTTTTAACTTGTATAACACTAACAAATTAGGCTTTTAAAACGATAAATGAAATTACGATGTACCCTTCCTTTTTGTGTGAAGAACTATTTCTGACTTTTATAAAGATATATTGAACTTGTGGAACACTAACAAATTTGGTCTCTGACAGCAAGGAATGATGAATTAAAATACCGTGAACGCTCTCTTCAGTTTTTTCTATGGGAAAAACTATTTCTGACTTTCATAAAGATATATTGAACTTGTGGAACACCAACAGACTCTAAACTCTGGCAGCAGAGATCAATAAATGAAATTACCGTATACCTTTACTTCAGTGTTTTTTCAGTTCTTTTTTCGATAATATTATATACTAAAAGTCATACATTTTTATATTCTGCTACTTAAAGATTAATAATACACTTCTGGTGATGAAAACTTAAATAATATTTATCTCTCCTTTGCTTCCAGATTATAGAATCAGATTATTGGAAGCAATGAGTTGGTGTATGGTTGTTAAAAGAAGACAAGGAAACAAGATAGTTCAACGCTAACGTTTGGAAAACACTAAAAAAATTAACTAACGTAATCCGAACGTAGATAAAATAGATTTAGTAATTACTTAAAGCTTCAAAGAAAAAAGTTTTAAGGTATATGCAGATATAAAGAACAATTTGTAGTTATTGTACATTGGTCTTCGTAAACCACGCTAAAATTTACTATACAAAAAACGACAACAATTGTTGTAACATCACGGCTTACCTCAAATTGAGGTAGACCAATACGAACAGTAAAAATATACTAATACTTAAAAGCTTTAGATAAGCATGGCTCAGTACGGTGGTGGCGCACCAAACCCCTTCGGTGCTGGTGGCGGCGGTGGCGGCTATGAACCACAGCCAAGCTATGGCGGCGGCTACGGCCAACAGATGGGCGGTTATGATCAAACAGGCGGTGGTTATGATCAAAGCGGCGCAGGTTACGATCAGAGTGGTGTCTACGGTAATCAGGGAACCGTTGGTGGTGCGGATTATGGTGGTGGCATGCCGAATGTTGGTGGAGTGCCACAACAACCATATGGCATGGCAGCACGTCCACGCGTCGATGTAGAGGCTACTGGTGAAGTGGATCCAACACTGTAAGTTTACTAATGCTTTTGAGACATTCTGTTTAATAAACTCAACTCTTGCTAACAGCTATCCTGAAGCCAAAGAGTCCACGCACAAAATACGCGGTCACGCCGATATTGTCGAAATGCTTTTTGGGCCCACCGAACACGAACTCATACCGGTGAAGGCCTTCTATTTCTTTTTCTTTGCCGCTTTCGGTTCACTCTTTCCACTGATGGGTGTCTATTTCAAACAAATGGGTATGAATCCTGGACAGTGCGGTATATTGATTGGTATGCGTCCATTTGTGGAGTTCTTATCGGCACCCTTCTGGGGTTCTTATGCGGATCGGTGTGTATAGTTTGATTTTTTTTATTTATTTCGTATTAGATAACAAATTCCACATTTTTATAATTTATAGCTGCCGGCAAGGCAAAAAGTTGTTGATGGCCTCACTCGCCTGTTGGGTGCTATTTACCATACCTTTGAGCTTTATCAAACCCGAGGCTGTGAATTGCATCGAACGCAAGAATGAAACCGATTTCGTTTTGACTTTGACACGCACTAAACGTGATCTCTCCGCATATGATATGAGCGACATGAATAAGGAAGATGTGGAGAGTTACCATTCTCAAGCGGCTTTACAGGATGCACTTACAATGCCACAGAGCGAGGCGATGGAGGAATCGCATAGAAGGTGAGTGCAAGCGATAAGATAAAGTATAATTATATAATGACTTTGTTTTCTAACTCAATTATATTTTTCTTCATTTTCATTTAGGCGCAAACGTTCATTTATACCTCGTATTGATGCCGGCATCTCACCCATACACATCAACTTCGTCAGCAACTACGATGACAAACAACATCGTGACTATGTTAGCCCTATATTCTCCTCGATGGTTTATCGCACTCCAGACATTCAAAAAGCTTTCTTCCTGCTCTTACTCGTCATACTTATTGGTGAATTCTTCAGCGCTCCTGCCATTACGCTCGCTGACTCAGCTGTCATTACATTGCTCGGCGACGATGCCGATAAGTATGGTCATCAGCGCATGTTTGGCTCACTCGGCTGGGGTATTTCTATGTTCATTGTCGGTATTGTGCTCGATCACTCGACACGTTTCTCGCATCATCCCTGCGGTGCTGGCCATATGGAAAAGAACTACAACATCTGCTTTGCCATCTTTTCGATATTGATGACTTGCGCAATTGTTTCGGCGTCGAAAATCACTTTCAAATACGATCCAATCGATATAGAACAGCCCGCTGAGAATCCAGACGCCACAGCTAACAAACAGGCGGAGGACGAGAGCATGGCTGAGCTGGCTGCACAGCTGAATTTGCCCACTTTGGCGATCGGTAGTGGTTCGGCGGTGGTCGGCAAGGCACCACAGGCCGCTGTGGGCGCACAGTCGACAATGTTTGCACAAACCACTAAGGAAATGCCCGAATGGTTAACTGTGTTAACACACTTTAAGGATATGAAAACTATTTCGTTTCTATTCGTTGCCTGGTTTATGGGTTTCGGCATTGGACTGATATTTACCTTCCTCTTTTGGCATCTACAAGATTACGGCGGTACTCCGACGCTTTTCGGTGTTGCTTCTGTGATTAATCACGTATCCGAGATCTTCGCCTACTTCTACAGCTTCCGTTTTATTACACAAATTGGCCATATAAAAGTGTTGTGCTTGGGCTTAATCGGCAATGTGCTGCGATTTTTGTATATCTCATATGCGACCAATCCTTGGATGGTGTTACCGTTCGAACTGATGCAGGGCATTACACATGCTGCCGTATGGGCAGCTTCCTGTTCGTACATAGCGCACAGCACACCCAAACATCTGAGAGCTTCAGCACAGGGCGTTCTACAGGGTATACATCATGGTTTGGGACGCGGTTGTGGCGCGATTATTGGTGGCATGTTTGTGACATACTACGGCACTACGAAAACATTCCGTGGTTATGGCCTGGCTTGCCTCGTGGTCTTGGGTGTTTTCATCTTCGTGAATTTCTATCGTAAAGATCAGGGCTTTATCTCGGATTTGCCAGCAACGGAGGATCCGCGACAGGTAAGTTCATGACCACTGAAGTGCAGCACAGTTTGAAGTATAAGCTCGTTTATATTATAGGTAGCGGAAGAGACCTCACATCTGGCGCCACATGGTGTACCAAGTAATCCAATACCACGAGCACTCTCTAATGCCCGTCTGAATGAGATGAATCCAAACGGTGGTACTGGCAATACCTACGGCACCTACCAAACTTCGGGCGGTAATCTTGACATACCTGGCGCTAATCCACACAACCCATTCGCGCAATAAATTGGAAAAAGTATCCCTGTATAAGACGAGAAAGTAGTTGAATTGGCTGAAAAGTGAGCATGGAGTTAGAATGAAAGGAGGATATTTTTAGATGATTTTGCATTTACATATGTCTGCGTAGATATTTTTTTGGTATGAGTTTCATGAACAGTTTTGATCAGATCTATTTGTATAGTTTATACATACATACGTAGTTATACTGGTAGAATAATATTGTTAACAAATCTAATCGTGTTATTAATAAGAAATCATATTTATAATGGAGAGCGCTTATTTGATTTGTAATCTCTTTAATTTAATACTTATTTATTATAATTACTTATAGCATTATCTTTTTAATTACACAATTACTTTGGTGAATATCAGAACACTAAATTTATTCATATTTTAATTATCATTACATTATTGCTTTCAAAAGGATTACTGCATTGTTATAATTACTTCTAGCATTCTTTTTTTAAATACCACAATTACTGTTATCTTAAACAGTGTCACTAAACCGATTGATATTTTAATTACATTGTTGCTATAAATACAATTATCTAAACAATACCAATGTACAAACAGTTACTGTTATCCTTTATCATTACCATTTTCATCATTTCTCATTATACTCCCATTATTTTGAAATAACCTACAATTACAATCTGAAGTATCAGTACTTATACTGTTACGATTACATTAATTAAATTTTACTTAACATTGTCTAATATGAGTATGATTTTACCAATACTTTTACCATTAATTTTGCATTACACTAGTTTTTTATTACATTTACTATTAGTTAAAAGGTATTACCAATTTATGTATAATTAAAATTACTATCAATATATAACTCTTTTCTAATTATGTTATCAATACTTTTTCATTACTGCTCAATATTGTTCATACTTTTTAACTATTTACTTAGATTAAAACTAGTATTCTTACAAAAGTATAGTATTGTTAGTTTATTAATGAATACTATTACTATTACAACCATTACCATTCCATTACACTAATTTAATGTTTTTATTATTAATAGTTCAAAACTATTACCAATAATGGTGTAATCACAATTACATTACATTTAATTACTTTTACATTACTGCTCAATATTATACATATTTTTTAACCATTTACTTTGATTAAAACCAGTATTCTTACAAAAGTATAGTATTGTTAGTCTATTAATGAATACTATTACCATTACAACCATTACTATTCCATTACACCTATTTAATGTTATTATTATTAATAGTTCAAAACTATTACCAACGTACATTACATATAATTATTTTTTCATTACTGCTAAGTATTGTAAACATTTTGTAAAATATTTATTTTTATTAAAAATATTCTTACAAAAGTAATCATTACTATTGTTAGTCTGGTAATCATTATCACCAATTTCGAAGTATTTTATTGTATAAATTTTCGCTCTCTGCTAATTCTTAAGTGTTACATATATAAAATAACTGTCCTTTCGTTATATTGTTAGTTAATTAAGTGAGCGGAATCGCAACAAAAAAATAGTTGTATTATATTTACTAGTAAATTTTACATTTAATTAAAAGGAGATTAGCAAAATACAATTCTAGATGTGTTTATTCTAATTACAACTTTATTAAACTGTTCAGAAATATATTAAATATGAAAAATTATAAACTTTAGATATGAATTGAGTTAAACGAAAATACTACATAATCGAAGAGTAAGATATTTAGAAAATAAACGACAAAAGTATAAAAAAAAAAACTAAAAAATATTAAACATAAAATTGAATAATTAAACAAAGAGAACGCAAACATGGTAATGAAAAACAATCAACTTGAATGTGCAGCAATACAATAGCAAAATAAAACAGCTCAGTGTAGAATTTGTAACGAATAGAAAGTAAAAAAGAAAACCGAAAAATATTTAAATACAAACAAACAAGCAGTTGTAAAGGAAAACGAAAAGTGAATACGAAAAAATTTTACAGTAAACATATCTTGGAGGGCGGCCTGCAATAGAAAACACTTGTATATTATTTGTTGTAATGCTAAGTAATTGGCGATATACAAATTTTATAAAACTCATAAAAATATTATTGGAATTATTTACAGTGTTTTACTGAAAGTCTAAGCAATTTCTTTTTATTTTCAATACAACTCTGTAAGAGATTTTATAATTGTTTTTGTTTTTGCACACACCTAAAGCTACAAATAAATGCTAATATATATATTTTTAAATACACAGAAGTAGTGTAGACGCAGTTAATGTTGTACTATACTCGTATATGTACATATTTGCACATAAGTACATGCTGGCATATACATACATATATGTACATAATACCACACCCATATAAATATAAATACAAGTACGTTAGCGTGAGAGCAACAAAATGTAGATGACACCTGCTGAAGCCAAAGAGTTAATGAAAGCTATGGATAACGGTAAATTGTAGAAATAACACTGGGATCTAAAAGTAATTACATAAAGTGATTGATTAATTACTAGTAATTACTTGATCTGAATTTATTTTTTAAACTTACTTTATTAATTATAAAACTGTGGCAACATGGAATGCTGCAGGAAATATTTTGTTGCAATAAAACTCAGGAATTGATAAAAATTTAAAATATTGTATTCATTAACAGATTACATTAATTTAAAAAAAATGTTGTCAGTAACAATTATATGTTAGTCAAATATTTTATTGATAATTTATTTATCTATTTAAATAGTTTAATTATTCTAAATAAGATTGTTTAAATGTAATCAATTACATTAAATTTAAGTAAGAAATTATAACTTAATTAGCACAACAGACGAAAAATGGCTTTAGAAAAAGTTACGAGCAAATTAACGACTTGCTATATAAAGCGAAGCATATTCTATTAAGAACATACATATGAAATGTGAATAAGAAAAGCTTTATGAAAAGTTACGAGAAAGCTCTTATGATTTAACAGTGAAAGCTTTACTTGAAATGCTTTTTTTAAATGAAAGCTGAGTAACTATATTATATGCAGAAACCTAAATACCGAAGACCAAGTGAAAGCATTCAATGATGAACGAAGTTATAACAGTAACGGTTAAAAATAAAAACTATAAAGTTAAAGCTATAATCTTTATGTCTCTAATTTCTATGGAAAATTATTTATTTTCTCCAACAATGAAAAAAAAAACAACAAAGGTAACAAGGGTTTTTAAATTCGTAGGAGCTTTCATGAAAGCTTTAGAAAAGAAGTAGTAATAGAAGCTATTGTAGCTAGTCACTGAAGCTCATCACATGTAGTGAAACGTGGTTTTAATTTTCTGTGAAATCGTGAAAGCGACACCAAAGCTTTAAAATCGAAAAATGAAAGCTTACCGTCTCTTGGGAGCGAATAATGTTTTCATACTATATAAATATGTATGTGCTAGCGAAAGAAATAAGAAACCTGTAGCGTGCACGTGTACTTGTATGCACTCACAAACTTCAGATGTAGAAACTTTGGTTGCAATGCTTTTTTCACATCACAATCATATCATTTTAGCAAATAAGTAAATATACAGCTATTTCGCAACACAAAATGTTTAATGTTGAAAACAAATATGTACGTAACTACAGAAATGTGTAGGTAAATGGTATAAACCAGAGTAAGATAAAGTAAAGTATACCGTAAAAATATTGGATTGATATAAATTATATGCAAGAAAATCAATGAGAAGCAGCAGTAATATACCTAAATGTTGTACCTTGGTAAAAATACAAGAAAATATATATATATATATAATTAAACAAATTAAAAAAGCCCAAAACAAAAATAAAAACTAAACTAAAAAGTTATAAGAATTTCACAAATCTGTTTATTAATATTACTAATAGTTTTTGAGAAGCGCTGGTTTTGAAATTTTTTTTTTTTGTGAAAAAAGAATTGGTTGGCGTTATAAAAATTTAAAAATTTTTGTAAGAAGTAAACTACTATATAAAAAGAACAAAAAATGTAGAACTTTTGAACGAATGATATTATGGAAATCCGCCTCATTGATCAATCAATCGCTACATACATAAGCTATATACAAAACTACACTGAAAAAAATTGGCGAAAATGCAAGAAATTGCTTAGAACATGCTTAGATATATACATATACATTTATAGCGTTAAGAAAATAAAGACATAATTGTGCCGTAGATGTAAATATGGCAAAATAGATGGGGGAAAGGGTGAGAAAGGAATTTATGCTAATTTAGTTACTTTGAGTTTTGTGCCACGTTTAGTTGGTTGCTGTGAGAGAGAGGCATATATAGATATATTGAGTAAAAGAGAGAGAGAGCGGTAGATATAGCGTGAATAAACTTGCAAGATAGTATGAAAAAGAGAAGACTAAGCAGCTGATCTGGAAATTTTTTTTTATTATTTAATTTGAATTATTTTTCGCAGCCTAAAATGAACAGAAAATGTCGAAAAAAATATAGATAATGTACCTAAAAGTTTAAAAAATAAGTAAATGTATTGGAATGAATAGAAAACGGCTTTGCAAAATAAAGCTTATGAACCGAATGATATTACTGAACCACACCATATATTAGAAAAAAAAACACATAAAAATAAAATAAAAAAGAAAACAAGTGTGTATGTATTTAATGTGAAAATAGAAATTGCAGTATTATAATACTACAGTTTGGGTAACATATACGACGTCCACACAAACTTAACGAACCTAACCTAAATTTTGTTTATTTTCATTATTTTACACAAAACTTAATTTATACATTATAAAAAATATTTAAAAACATTGAGTTAGACACTAGTTAGATACCGATACCTGCATCATATGTAACACACTCACTCACACCTACAGAAAATTATAAATAATATATTGTATGTATGAGCATTTCTAGCAAAAAGTATTTCAAAATGTTAAATGTTACCACAAAAAGTTGACAGCAGCCGATGAATATGGATAAAAAGCATTCAAAATGAACCAAAGCAAAGAAGTATTGTAATAAATAAATATATACAAATACATACATACTATATATACAAAAATAAATAAAACATATATATATATATATATAATATTATTGTAATGTAAACATTAACACAAAAATACTACATACTTATACCAAGGATAAGCAAATAAAGATAATAAAACAAAAACAAATTTAATAATAAAAATTTATTGAGTGAATAAAAACAGAGTATGCAGCTTTTTTTATTTATTATTATTTTTTTTAAAGTAAATTGAATTTAATCAATAATCTAAATTAAAAGAAAATATAATTAGGTATTACTAAACATAGCTTAAATTGTGCTTAATATTATTTTGCTTTTTCCCAAAAGTTTTCCGATAATTATTTTTTCGGGTTTTGAATTTTTAGCACTTTTAACTACGCTAGAATTCGTTGAAAGACTTGTTTATTGGGTGTGTGACTTCACTAGAGCATATAAAATGAAGCCTTAATGTAGGCAACATTTTTCTAAAAACAAAAAAACAGAATTTATTTAATTCGTTAGATGAAAAATTGATATTCGATAGATTTAAACAAGAAAAAAATGAAATCATAAAAGCAATATGTTTTTATCTGAATTTATTTTTCGCAAAATTTTACTATTTTAGAAAATGGTATACCGTATTTTAAACCAAATAAAATCTCTCTATTGTCCTTTACTAAGTTAGAAATACATGCCGAAGAAATATGATATCTTAAATCATAAAGGAAGGGGAATAATTTTATACACTGATTGATTAAGATCTCTAACTTCGATTAAGTAGTTTAATTTCCGTTTATATAGGTTCTAAGCTGCAGGGCTTGATGCGATCAAATTTATTTCAAACTGGGTCTTTGAAAACATAAATGTGTAAGAATTGAAATTTGTTTCTGCTTTTACATGGGTTAGCACAAACTCCCTTAACATTGTTACGATATTTGAGTGAGACAATAATATCAAAGCAGTGAATGCAGTAATGTTAGCATTAGAAAAAGCTAAACGCAAAATATCGGAAGCGAAAAAAAAATTATTTTGCTGGTATTGTGATAAAAGGAGCATGTTCTCAAGCTGATGTTAAAGATTTCTATGAAAAATAGAAAATAAGCGTATGTAATTGAAATTTGTTTGGAAGGTACTTTAATTATATTAAAGCGATGGTCAGGTGTGACTCTATGGATATTTACTCTTAAGCTTTCTTTGGCACAGCATCCATGTATGTTCAAGCAACTCAACGATATAATGCAACCATTACTTAAATATTAATTTAATCTTATTCATTTTTATTTCGTCAAAACGTCAAGCAATAACAGAACTACTACATTGTCAGCGCATTGCCTGCAGAAATCATGTACAGCTGAATGGCCAACTCGTTGCTCGAATGGCATTAATTAAAACAGCAATTTACAGAAACTCAACGCTGATTACCAGCTGCTTTATTTGAAGTGCTTTAATTCGATGAAAACAAGGCAATGGCACAGTGCGCGTCATAAAATCTTGCCGCCGCAACATGTGGGCCAATTGTAAATGTACCGTTGCACTATGTGACAGTGAGGAATCTGAAAAACCGCTTACGGGCAAATCTCAATTGTGCAGATATACAACCACTTGTCTGCGGCTACGATTTAATGAGGCATAAAAGTGTGAAAAACATTTAAAATTACACACACACACATATATATAAATATATATAAACGCGCACTCACATACATACAAATAAATATTTATACGAGTAATATTATACGAGCCTAGTGCATAGTGCTGCGCATCCGGCAGCAGTTACGTAAGTGAAGGCAAATTAATGTCAACGCCGCTGTCCTTTTAATGTTCACTTCATTGGTTTTTAATTAATTTTGAACATCGATAAGTGTCAAGGTATTGGTTTAATTTCCCTTTTTTTTTTTTTGCTATTTTTCATTTAAATAAGCCGAAAATTTTATTTGCATTGCGCTTGTTATGCTGACAGCATCAGTTGTGGGCTGTTAAGTACTTACGTACATAATGACGTAATGTGATTTCATGACGATCATGTGATGTGCGGTTGCTTTAATTGAAAATTGGTACTGTAGTTGTAGGAAGAATTTAAATTGTTTTAAGATTTTTTTTTTTTTAATTTTGTTGATATGAAATTGGCATTCGTCCAGAATGTAGAAGAGTTATTACTTAGCCATGCTCTGAAATATTTCAAAATTTACAGTTATGACTCCAAAAAAAGTGAAAATTTATTAAGACGGTGCCGAAAACTAACCCCTCGGTGGTTTGGTTGGTTCAGTCAGAACCGGTTTTCACTGAAAAAATACGATAAAGTTTCTTCGAGTTTGTTGAAGGAGTATTTAGGAATTAGTAAAATACCGAGAGGCAAATATGTATGCTCTTATCTATCGGCGAAATCATTAGCTGGATCCTCTCCGAGGCTGCCGACTGATAATAGATACCACAGTTGTCGCGACTGTAACAGAGACGTAAAAGTGCGCCCCTGTTGCAGTTGGGCGATATCGAGCTATGATTTGACTTTATAGTTGGGTGTTCGTTGCTTTTAAATAGAACAGCTTTCAGATAGGAAGTCTTACCATGGTAAGGGGTACAAAAAAAGACGGGATCAAGCTGTCATGGGACCTGACCTTGTTACAAACAGGAAGGGAAAGGAGTTGCCAAAAGTGAAGTTGCTGAAGGAGCTTACAAATAAGCTCTAGGAATCCATTGATTGTACGAAAGAGGTTATACCGAGCTTTAAGCTTGAAATGATAGCAGCGGCGGCTAAAAGAAAAGGTCAGCTGAAGACACCATTCTCCAAGACTGAAGAGTTATATATTTTCTCTTCTACCATCTAACTGCAAACTCAACTTAAGCTACAGAGGCGTACTTGAGAATCGTTACAACTAATTTGTGCGTTTTGGTTTAAGTAAGCAAGTAGGAAGAAATTATCTTAGTGTTTTCGAAACCAAATGTCATTGATATTAAAATTTGGGTGTTAAATTTTGCTTGGCTGTACCCTGTTGCAGTAATATAGTTGACGGGCCGTGTTCTCGTAAAGAAACTACAAGAGACTCTTTCTCTTTCTCAAGATCTTTTGAATGTGTGTTAAATATTCCAATACTTGTACCGTGAAACCGAGTATTGTGGTCAGTTTCTCCAGTTTCTTGCACTCCAAGTCAAATGTAGACATAATATGTAAAGAAAAGCAATAACGATCTCCCTAACTTATTGCAGATTATACTTAGAGAACTGAATCCTATGGCTTAAGGAACTTGTGAATCCTTTAAAATCATTCACTCTTATGAAAATAGTCAGTCATTCAACTCTTTTTCTTTTGAAGCAACTCACACCCTGCCCTCACTTAGCTTTTCACTGTCATTCAAATAGTTTTCAAACATACTTAGCGCGACCTGGGGTTGACAGGTCACTTTGTTACAACAAAAAACCAGCAAGAGTCCGCCCGCTCTGCCGGGCCTCTCAGCACATCCTTGTAGTTTTCGCCATTGTTGCATTTGTTTACAGTTACAATAGTAGTGGCTATTGTTTTTGCTGAGTGTGCTCGAGGAATGAATTGTATTGTTTGTTATTGTTTTTTTAGTCGTCAACGCGCCCAAACAATAACTCTGACAGCATGTGGCAGCTGCAACACTTCCAGTCGTTTGTTCTGTTTTATAGCGAAAAATAAGTGGGCGCTGCGATACAATGAAAGAGTTTTGCTTTTGACAATGCGCTACTGAACTTAGTGTCCTTACACGCATTAAAACATATTGTTGTTGTTTTTTTTTACTATACGGAAAACTTTGTTGAATTCTGAATAAGCATCATCAGTTTAATGAACTCATGTCTGCTGAGCTTGAAAATTGCTGCTGAAAAGGAATATCATCTGAACTGCAACTCCTCAGAGAGACATAATTTTTACTGACTATTGAAAAGTTTTGCGACGAAATTTTTTCGTGCAAGCATACATTAGATGCACTGTGGAAATAAGAGCAGACCTTAGTATATTATTGTAAGTAAGTAAGGCTCTGTCGGTAAGGTAGCGTTAGTCGTCAGTGTATGTGTAAGGTAGCAAACAAAATAATTTATGAAAAATTACGAAAACATTTTTTTTTGCATAATTTCAGGCGAATAACTATTAATCCGGTAGCTGTTTTGGACGTTACCTATATTTTTTCTATCCACAAAAGTATTGCTCCGTTCATGTTTTATGTCCGTAGCATTCTCGTAAGCTCGAACAAATTAATGTTTGTGATTTTTATCTCGAAAAATATTAAGCGATATCATATCTATATACATCTATATTTGATGCCATAGTCGTAAAGGTTTCATAATATTTCACAAGGTTTATCTGTTCTAACTTTGAACTTTGAACTCAACTGGTTATTGAGCTATCTATCTGAAATTTCGCATACGTCCTTTCCTCCCCAAGAAGCTCACAAAATATCTTCACGAAATTTCGCAGAGATTATTTTTTAAGTAGGGCACTAAAGGAATTTTCCATGTCATACAAACTGACCGATCAAAATCAAGATAAAGATCTTTTATTACTCTTTTATGCTATAAGTAATGCACTTGTGAAGGGTATTCTGGCTTTGTGCAGCCGAAGTTAACGACTTTTCTTGTTTTAATCCGTTGGAAATTGAGTAGTTAGAACATCACTGGATCAAGTGTATCGAATCGTTCTCCACATCCAATAAGTTTAAGGTATTCCGGTATAAAATAAATTATATAACATATAAATGATCTCGTATATATAGTTTTAGTAGCTATCTTGGCTGTGCTTGAATGGTTTGAGTCTTAACTATTGTTTTTTTTTATCAAGGATCACTAAAGAACCTTACCTTCTCTAGGTAAACCTCCATTCGGATTGCGATATTATCGGTTCTATAATCAGAACCTGAGGTGTTACAGATCTCACAGTTATACTTTTTGTATTCAAAACGATTGCGTTTAACTCAAAAGATTGTTTTCCGTCTTTTAATACTAGTTTAGCATTTGCTTATTATCTTTTTTTATAGAATCAACCACAGAACTAATTTCGTATACTTGAGCATCACATAATCATAATGTAATAATCTTTTATAGCTAACCACACACTGAGAGCCAGCACTCGCAAACATATTTTTGGCTTTTAAATATTTTTCATTGCATTTATGACGCTCCCCTGTTGCATGCAACACAATTTGCATAAGCAAGCAACCGCAGCATTTGGCCGCTCAAGCAAAAGCTGCATCAGCATTTAGCGGCGATGAGTGGAAAAGGATTGCGGATAAAAAGGGAGAGCAGTGAACTTATAGGTGGTATAGTTGTAGAGAGCTACTGCACTTATGGGAGCCGAAATGCAGCGACAGCTGATGGCTAGCAGCGCAGGATACTGCTCAAGCATACGTACAACCACCCAACTAAGTGGAACCAGCGCGCCGACTTGGCACACTGCCGTTTGGGACAAATACATTTAAGTTTTTGGCATGCAATCGGGTTTCAATTTGACGAGATGTGAGTGGGAGTGTGTATGTGTGTAATTTTGGGTAGGTATGTATGTATGCGCAGCGCCAGCAGATGATTGTGGCATGCAGCTATTAAGTGTAGCACTTTCTACTTTTTGGTGGTTTTTTTGAAATATTTTTTTTTTTTTTTTGATTTTCTTACAGCTCCCTTTTCTTCAGCCGTTTGCCACTTGCCGCAGAGACAATAACTCCTAAAAACGTTTTCCTTTTACTGTCACTGATTTCCATGTTTCCTTGCTAACAACATTCTTGGAGACAATTTGGTGTACTTCTGCTGCTTTTGCTATTGCACAAGCACTTGGCTGCGTGTGTGTGTGTCCATAAAATGCTGCTTGCCACATGCTGTGTCACATTGTATCGCATGTCTTGCCATTTTTGTAGATTGTATAGCACATTGCTGCGTACATTTTGTTTTTGTTGTTGTTGCTGCTTGTTTGCTGATTTTGCTTGCCACCACTGCTGTTGCATGCCACATCAATTTATTTAAATGTTTCGTAAATGCGCTTCTAAACGCTATTATTTTGCTTTTACAGCTTTATTTCTTGCTTCCTGATTTTATTCTGCTTCCCTCCCATCTTTGCACTGCTTGCGCACCTTTTCGGCAGTAGAGGCGTTTAGTTCCCCTTCGGCGCTTGGCAAAAATCACAGCTGGCGAGTGTTGCCAATGGCAATGCGGTTTTGCAGGCGCTGCATTTTTCCAACTGTTGTATTAACGGCTTGTGCATGTGTATGTCTGTGTATTGTGCAAAAATTGCATATTGCAAATTGTTTAATGTTGTTGTGTTCATAACAGAGTTGGGTTTGGTTGAAGATGCTGCAGTGTGCATTGCATTGTTATCCCGGTCTTTTTATTTTCCATAAATTCTATTTTGCAATGTCTTTATTTGTGATTTTTTTTGTTGCAAAGGATGTTAGCAAATAACTGTTGTTTGGAGTGGTTAGAAATCTAGGTTGCCACTGAAGTTATTTTTTTTACCTACATGATAAAACTTAGTTTTAAAGGAGTATACTTAAAGACTTAAATAATTACCGGATTACATTTAGGTTTGCAAAACCCGAGTTACCGAGATTTAGAATTTCGGCATCGCTTAATTTCTTTGAAACTAGTTTATTTAATTAAAATAAAATAAATATTATACTTTTTTTAAATCGACATGTTTTTCACAGCTATTACTTTCAAAAATAAAATACTAAAAATTTACATGGATATGTCAAATAGTATTTGAGCTACAGCCTACTAAAGTGGAGCCGCACAGTTCAACCAGTTCAATCAGCTCTATCAGTTTATTGTTATGCGTTTTTCTCAAAACTACATTTTTCCAATTTGCTTAATTGATTGCTCCGATACAAAGGATCCGCTTATTATACATTTTTTTTGCTAAAGACAATATGTTTCTTTCTGCTTAGGAATCAATGTTTAGGTAAAGTGCTTATAGCCATAGATGGTTTCAGACTCTATTAACCGAAATGTCTACCCAAAACAAGTTCATACTTTTTCGTGCTCACGATAAGTACTCTCTTAACGATGGAAGGATAGACTCTGTTGGTTATCATAAATTCACTCATTCACTTTCCACAGAAGCATGCGCTTACATAGATGTGCATCCTCTTTAAAAACTCAATAAACCAGGCTAGTTGTAGCTATATTAAATTTTCTGCCAAAATAAAGCATGATTTCGAATTTTCAAATTTGATTCTTCCATTTAAGATCGTTTTTGCGATTATTAGGTAAATATAATTTTCAGCTCGGCCGCGTTCGTATCTTACATTGAGTCGGAAAATGTTTATTGTTGCACTTGCTCTCCTGTTTGTGGAACTGTTTGAACAGCTGTTGGGCCATCTGAAGATATGCCGTATAAGCTTAGCGCTATGGAAAATAAAACAATGGCGTAGTAAACGGTAAAAGCCATGTCCAAATCGAATTCCATTCTGTTATTTTGAATTTTAAATTTTATATATATATTATATATATATATTTATATTTATTTCTTTAGAAACTGGAAAATTTTTGAATGAATTGTTATGAATTTTGTTGTAACTGCAAAAGTAAAGACAAGTTGACAATCAATACGGAGAGAGAGGGATGCCATTTTATTGATGAATAGTTAAAAAAAACCAAATACAATAAAAAATGAATATAATAGGAGAAATTAAAAAACCTTCAAAATGAACACAAAGATCTCATTAGATAAAGGTGAAAATCTCAGCAAAGACATCAGAAAATATTGAAACTAAAAGTAACGGTCGGTTATATGTATGAGTATATACTCATAGCATATGCTCGCTATGTCAAAGCTCAAGTCAACTGCTTACTGACTCTGAATTGATTGCTGACTGCACTGACAGACACTGGAAAATTGGCTATAAAATGTTGTCGCTGTTGTTGTTGTAGCTGCATACCATTTCACTATTGAGTGCACATATGCAACGCGCTGCTCATTAGAAGTGCACTTTGTATGCTAATGAGCAGATTGAGTGACTTGCAAGGCGGAGGAGGATATCAGATTAATTGAAAAAAGTGGATGAAAAATGAAAGTGAACACGAGAGGCTGGGAGAAGTGGCAAAGAAAATGTAAAATAATTGCGAAATGCTGCTAATGCAAAGCAATTTAAACAGAGAGAAGCATGAGAGCGGGTTCAATAATGATGATGAGTTGCTAGCACAAACGACATTGAGTAATTGAGTGAGTGATTTTGGTCTTGTCAAAAATGAGTCAGTGTGTCATAAAGCTGCTATGATTGCAGTTTTTTTTAACACAAGGAGGCAATGTGCATCGAAGTGTATGCCATGTACTTGCGAGTATGTATTTTAGCGGGTGCAAATGCTGGCAAGTTAGTCGTGCCGTCCTTGTTGCTTTCATTAGCTACATACATAAATTTGAAGAAGGTCACCAATGGCATAAGTATTAACTGTATCTCAATAATTTTTTGGCCTACAAACACATAGTGCTGATATACATATATTTGAAAATATAAATAGCTGGCAGGCAATCAGAATCCACTTGTATATATATTGCTTTGCACTAGTGTATGGACCAACCTATTGACAGGACATGGCTAAGTGGCAAGTGGAACTGCATTTTTGTGGACCACTCTTGGCTTACCTTCAATCGATTGTGTTTTTTTGAATTTCACGTCAGCTGTGCCCCTTAAACTTTTCCGAAGCTTATGCTGGAACCGACCTAAATTCGAATCGAGTTATGGAGTTTCTACAAACCGCCTTGGTCCGTAAAAAAATAAATTCAGATACCGTTAAGGTTTTTTTTTCCTAATAGAATCTATTGGAGTACTTACTGAGTCACTGATTTTCTGTTTAAAGGTTCAAAACTTAGCTCAGAAATTATTCCGCTAAGTAATTCGGGCGAAACGAACACGTATTCGGAGGTTACACGAATGTATGACCACAGGCAGGGACCATTCACTAATAACTTATGCCACAAACATATGAATAAAATTACCAGGTTTACAAATATATCGTTCAGAAATATGTATTTATAGACATATATTTGAGCACTTTACCGTTATGTGCTTCAAATTTGTTACGAATCGTTTAGTTTGCAACTCTTGATGGCCAGCACTTTCTCTTCTGTTTCAGCGACGACTTCCACAATATTTATAAAAATATACTGAATGTTGCATGTAATGTTGCAAGCTATTTCGTGCAACAACTGAGCAGTTGTTGTTATTGTTTTCATTTGTATCATGTGTTTGGGCAAATTTGTCGTAGTTGCTGCTTTCTTGTTTTTGTTGTTGTTGTTGCTAATATTGGTGTCTACCGCTGTTGCTATAACATGGCGGTGATGCATTTCTGCTGTTGCAAATAAATTTCATGACTTGCCACATTTCTCTATGCCAACTAAGTACATCAGCCGCTGCAAATACTCGCAAATATATACATACATATATACATACATACATACATATTGTAAATATGTATGTGCCACTTGCATATCGTCGTCTGAGTATCCTTTACCGTCAAGTTAGAATGCGTTACTTCCGTTTGCTGCCGACTGTTGTTACTACGCTACAAGAACTACAACAATAACAGCGAGCTTTTAGCGCCGAATGAGTGAATGAATGAGCGGCTGACTGAGTGTTTGGCTACTGCTGTATAGTTGTATGTATGTGTTTATGTATGGGTGTAGTTTGTTCCCTGCTGGTGCAACATTTAGCGGTAATGCTTAAAAATGGCTGCGGCATGCCGGAAACGGATGGTGTTGCAGTTGAAGAGTGGCATGCTTGCGCTTGAATGCGCTTTTCAGCGGGACACATCCACAAACACACACACACACATACACCCAGTTTCAGTGTTCATTCAATTCGTGTAGACCCCACAAACAAACACACACAAATGCTCATACATACAGAAGATTCTCCGCAAGCATGCATATTCAGCATATAAATAGCATATTCTCACTCTAAAGCCGAGCAATTCTTCTGCTGTACGCCATAGCAAAGAGTGAAAGCCAACAAGCGGTGATAAATGAAGTTTTAGTGGCTTTTGACCCAGTTAATAAATTGTTGAAGTCGCAATTGCTGGCAACACTTACATGCACCGCAAAGGATGGTTGGATAAGTCAATGATTTTTTGAATGTTATATGACTATATTTTTGTACCCTGAACGGTCAGAAAAACATCGAATATCCTAAAAAGTATACATATATATAAATGATCAGCGGGACGAGCTCGGTCGATTTAGTCATGTTCGTCTGTCCATTCGTCCATTAGTATATATATATGACGCCTCAGTTTTTAAGATATCGATCTGCATTTTTGTACAAGCTCGTTTCTGCTCAGGAAGCTGCTGATTTGTCCGAACCACCGATATCGGACCACTATAGCAAATAGCTGTCGTACAAACTGATCGTTTAAAATCAAATTGTTGTATGGAAAACTTCTTTGTTTGTGAAGGGTATTATAAGTTGAAGACACGCTGACCTGCAGCCTTCTTAGTATCGAAAGAGTCATTGTATTGTTTATCAAACTTTTTCGTGTCTAATATGTTTATATTTTAAGAATTTGACATTTTTAACGACTCTCATCTCTTCGATGATGACAAATTTTAAACTTCACTGATATATCGAACTATCGTCGTATATATCAATCTACCCCTACCATCTTTCTGCGTGCCTGCAGCGAGGTAATGAAAAGTGCATTTCTAATAATCTAAAAAAAGTGAAGTTTATTTTGGTTTTAGTGCGTAGTTTGGTAGGAATGTAGACCAGACTAGCAGCACAGGTCCCACAAAGTTAAGTGGGCGTATCAAGGGTACACAAGTCAAATGTTGAATATATGGATTAGAGAGATTTTTAAAACTATGACTCTGGTGCAGCTGCGAATATAAATTTGTGCCAAGAAGAATTTGCTGGAAATTAACTACATATACATATAATATATACATATAAACATATAGATATATATAGTAAGTTTTAGTAGTCGTAAGCTAGGTATATTAAATAGAGCACTTAGGGGAGATTGAACGTTAAGTTAGGTTGAGGATTTACTACAAAGAGTGGGGACAATAAGCTAAAATCTTGGAGCGTAAGCTTAAACTGTGATAAATGAAGTGAAGAAATTTAAGAACTCAGAAGCTGAACGGTTTACGAACGGTTTAAGTAGCTGCTATTTACTATTTACGGTGATTGGTGGTGTACTTCTCGCCACATTTAGGAGAAACTTGCTATAGGTTATTTCCAGAACTCGGAGTAAGCTCTAGAGTTGGATTTATTTTAGATAAAGTAGAGGTCTTCAAACGTTTATCTTCGCTGTACTGTGTTTTTAGGTAACAACTTAGAGCAAATGTTCGATTTGAGCACTTTTTGGAGGATCGTAAAAATTTGTTTAGATTCGTTTTTCGTTTAGCTTTCAAGCTCAATTTTTTTTCTTATTTTATTGGTAATATTTTTAAAATATTAATTTTGCGTGCAGTAGAATTTTGCTGAAAATCTAAAAAATTGGAAGGTAATGGCGAAATACTCATTAGATATAAATGTAGCCTACCTTTAGGCAGTTCATTTGACTTTATTTTGATCTCGCTGTAGAATATTTCTAGTATTTTTATATAGTTTCGAAGTTCGAGTAACTTTGCGCTCAAAGCGTAAACGAATTTCATTAGTTATTTAATATAAAAGTTTGAGTAAAGCAACCGCAAATTCAAATGACGTCAAATTACATTTTACAACTCAGTAAAAATAAATGTCAAACGTATCCTCACACTGATCCACTTCGGTAGTGAAGATTTTAAATTAAAATACATTTATTTCGAATAAATAGTTTTTGATTTCGAAAAAACAGAATTTGCAGTGATTTTCTTAACAACTAAAATACTAAGTAAAAAATTTTAAATAATAAATTATTTTCTCTCTCTTTTCATATTGCTCATAAAAACATAAAATTTGCCATTGCTTTACCATTTATTTTTCGCGAATACTCCACGCATTTATTAGCCACTCTACAGGCCACCGTTTCCTCCATTTTCGCTTTTGTGCCATTTTCCATTAGCATTGTTTTTGCCAAACCAACACATTGCCAGCGCTCGGCGGCAAATGAATTGAATTGACTTGACTTGATTAATCACATTAGCGCGCCAGCAGCATTAATCAAATGGCAATGCGCCAGTGATCTGGCAACGCTATTAATTTTATTACACACACATATTCACGCACACAATCGCAACTAAAATAACGCCGAGTGCAGTGCGTCAAAGGCAATAAAAATAGACGTGTAGTAAGTAGCTTCAGGAATAGCACTCGACTTTTGTGCGAAAGTTTGAAGAAAGCGATGATTTTGATTATTTTCTACAACCAAACTTGAATGCTTGAAAATGTCAACTGCTGTTGGAGAAAGTAGTTTTATTTTATTTGTTGCTGGTTTTGTGAAATCACAATCGGCTTGTACAAAGCCTTGCTTTGGATGCGTGGGAAAATCCTTGCTTTGCTGGCTTTTTGCATGTGTCGCGTGCAGCGTTGCATTTCTTGCATAGAGACACCACCATCAAATGCAAATAAATATATATGTAGCTTTCTAGAAGTATGCAAAATTATATGCCAACAGTGAGCAGACAACAAGTGACAACCACACCGCCTCCTCTATTCTACATTTCTACATTTATATGG